CGCGGTATCGGTAAATTTAAAATAAACTTCGTAATCGAATGTTGGGTACTTTGTACTTCTATCGTAGCGATATGAGTACAAAAACCATAAATATTATTTATTATAACATTTATAAACACATTTTATTACAAACTTATAAATTTGATTGTTAAAATTTCTCATAATAAAGTTTTAAAATATAATTTTTTTTTTAAGATAAATAATATTTGCGTGCCACTGAAATTTGGTCAACGTGCCACTTCTGGCACGCGTGCCATAGGTTCGCCACCCCTGCTTTATAGCATATCGATGGCTTAGTGCACACTAGTTATAACTTATAAGTCACAAAATTGAAATTGTACAGGAAAGCTATTTTAAATATTAACTTTTTAAAACCCGTTTAACTTAAATAATATTTAATCTATTTGTTTTTTCTATATTTATATTTACTTAATAATATATGTACTATGTAGTTACCTTTTAATACATAAGTTTAATTCATATAACATGTATAAATGTATTTATTTATTTTAACGACGTTTTTTTTAAAAAAATATGCGAACTTGGTAACTATGTGAAAAAATAAATTTGGATAGACATGGACTTAAAATATTAAATGGACATACAACAATTACTTTTTATAAAGAAATTATTATATTTTCTTTTCATTAAACCTTAAAAATTAAAAAGTCCTATAACTAAAATATTTTTACTGCTCTCATATAATATGTCCGGACCTAGCATGTAAGCAGTTAATAAATTGGGCAATACAAATCAAATTCATGTTAAGTACGGATATATAACAAGTGTGCATTTAAATAGCAGTACAAGTACAAAATTTAAGGACTTATCATTAAGAGTCAAGGACTTAATACATTAGAGCAAAAATAAATATAGCTACCTGCCATTTATGATAAATGAAAATATTAAATATTACATGAATAATTAATTAATGGTTATATAATACAAACATCTTGTAAAGAACGAAGAGAATTCAATTTTCTATCGATTAGTATCAAAAAGTGTTTTTCGGAAAATATTAACTTTTAACAAGTTTGCATTAAGCCATCGATATAAGAGTAGGTATCTAATTATTAATATTAATTAATAATTTTACCTTAATCCGATGATGACAAGCCCGTGAATAATGCAAAGTAAATCAAAAAAATAAAAGCATGTATGGTAACACACGTACAGTTTCAAGAAATAAAATGTTAAGTCGTAGATAATCGGCAACGATCGGTGATAATGAGATATTATTAATAATTATATTTTTTTTTTATATTATAAAATTATAATATAAATAGTAAACAAAAATATTCAAAACTGGACGCGCCTGCTGTCAATATCTATTTTTAACACGTTCAACGCCGATAGCGAGCGCGTAGTTGTCAATCGTCATTCGATGTCGGGTTTAACTGATTTTACGTACTACATAATACATGCATTATTTAAATGATTTTGGCAAAATAATTTTTGTTGTATTTCTCAAGTGCACATATATTATTCGCTAAGCCAACTGCACATTGTATATTTCCTAATGCACAAGTAGTGTCCTACTGCACCTTACAATAAAGCCTGGATAATGGATAACTGACTTACTATAATATTATATTACACCTATACTTTAATTTTAAAAATGTCAATATGTACGTGAAATTATCTATATAAAATTTGCATAGTTATGTGTACAATAATAAAATGTAATATAATACATAACATTATACAATTAACATTTTATGTATTTATTTTGCGTTTTAATAAAAAAAAAATCATCTGCAACAATATTTATAGTTCCATATAAAATTAATTTTTATAGAAACTAAATAATTTAATATATTAATAAATACTTATGATACAAATATTTTTAAATAAAAATGGGTACAAATATTTTTTAATTTTTTAATTTTGATGGTTTTAAACCATTTCAAACGGAAGATTTGGATAAATATTGGTTTTATTATTATAACGCCGAACATTTTTTCTTTCCAAAGAGCCATCATCAAACTCTTGATTTTTATTGTATTTTTGTTTATGAGACCGGAGTATTAAGTTATGGGTAGAGGTCGGATTTTTATGATTTTACATATTCGTTTCTAGTCTATGCAGTTAAATGGGAGTGAGAAATCTTTACGATTCATGAAACACAGAATTCACAGGAAAAAATTTATTTTGCATAAAAAAGCATATTTTAGGGGTTAGAGAATATTTAATACGTAAGAGAATATTTGAGAATATTTTTCTAAAATTGGCATATAATTAACATATTTCACGTATATCAGCACTTTGATAAATACAATGTTCACTAAATGATTTATTTCTGGGTTTTAATAAAAATTAATCTCCATGTATTCCTTATCGATTGCGATAGCACATCGGTTATTTCGTTAGCTGTCACGACTATTCTCATCGTCTACTAGTCGTCCGTCGCATCGCGTCGAGTGTTGATATCTGAGTGTTATATACATAATATTTTCTTTCCACTCGTCTCATATTACTATAACTGTCTATAACATACAAATATGCCGAAAACTTCAAGCAGTTTAAAAAGTTTATTTGCTCAATGGATTTCGTCGTACAATAACCAACAAACGATTTTCACGACAGATGGTGCAACAATTTTTTGTCAAGTTTGTGACAAAAATATTCCTTGCACCAAAAAGTCACAGGTAACACAACATGTACATACTAATGTCCACATAAATGGTTTAAAACGTAAATTAAATACTTCATCAAAACAATTATTTTTATCAGAAGCTACTCCCAATGAAAATAAAAATGATTTTAACAAAGATTTGTGTCTAGCCTTAGTAGCAGCTAATATACCTTGGTATAAAATGCAAGTTCCTCAATTTCGTACATTTTTAGAGAAATACACTGGCAAACATATACCAGATGAAAGTGCGTTACGTAAAAATTATCTCGAGCCGTGCTACTATAATACTTTAACAAAAATCAAAAATGAAATTGGTGAAAATAATATTTGGATTGCTGTAGATGAAACTACAGATACAAACGGTCGTTATGTTGCAAATTTACTGGTGGGAATATTAAAATCAAATACTCCGACTCGCCCATTTCTCCTGACATGCAAAGTTTTGGAAAAAACTAATCATTCCACTGTTGCTCGGTTTATCAATGATGGACTAAAATTATTATGGCCGTTGGGTGGAAATGACGAAAAAGTGTTGTTAATGTTATCGGATGCAGCTCATACATGACAAAAACCGGTGATACACTAAAAGTTTTCTACCCAAATTTAATTCACGTTACGTGTGTAGCTCACATGATGAACAGGGTTGCAGAGAAAGTCAGAGAAATGTTTCCAAATGTGAACACATTAATCAGTAATCTAAAAAAAGTATTTTTAAAAGCGCCATATCATGTCCAGGTGTACAAAGAAATATTACCCAATGTGCTATTACCTCCAGAACCCGTATTAACTAGGTGGGGAACTTGGCTGGAAGCCGCTGTATTTAATTTCGATCATTTTGAGGGTTTGAAAAATGTTATAGACAAATTAAGTGAAGAAAAGTCGTCAGTCAGTATTGAAAAATGCAAAAACATGTTACACTTACAGTCTGTAAAAAATGATTTGATTTTTATTAAAACTAATTTTCTTCAAATTGTTACAACTATCAAAAGTTTGGAAAAATCAAATACTGCCTTAGTTGATATGATAAATATTATCGAAAACACTTTCACACAACTTGAGCAGATACCAGGAGAAAAAGGAGAAGTAGTAAAGACAAAAATATTGCAACTTCAACAAAAAAACAAAGGGTACAAATTTTTGAAAAATATTGGACAAGTTCTTAGTGGAAATAACACAATACAACTTCCGGAAAATTATTCACCGACTATGGTAGCCGACTTGCAATATTCTCCAGTGACATCGGTGGATGTCGAACGATCCTTCAGCATTTACAAGAACATTCTTACAAACCGGCGTACTAAAATGACACCGGAACACATGGAACAATATATAGTTATTAATTGTTATTGTAAAATAGATTAAATTAAATATATTTAAAACCAAATTAAAAAAAAATAAATTTAATAATTTTTTTTTTTGATATTAAAAGAATATTTTGCATATTTAAAGACATAAAACATCATATATCTGGTATTTTAAAAGAATATTAAGAGAATATATTGCCTATTTTATGTGACATAAAAACATCATATTTTAAGGATTTTAAGAGAATATAAATCCTACCTCTAGTTATGGGTAATGCTAGAAAAAAATCCTGCTAAAAGCTTTGTACTCCACCCAAAGGTTTGATATAAAAAAGTTATATTAATACCTGTGTCAACAATAGTTAATACTAATTTTGCAACAAAGAATATTCCCATTAGCCCAGATACAAAAGTTCCAATTGTCGTAAACCAACCATATTTTAAATAGCTTATCTTCTACCATTTTTCCAAGCGTGTTTTCATCTATCAAATATTTGAATTGCAGACCTTGGTTAGTGGTATCATATCCCATAGATTGTCTGATTATATTATTCGTAGCAGCTTTCACTTCTTGCGGGAACAATATATGCTGTTGGAAAGCTTTCATTGTATCCTGCGTATATATACCGGCATTCATGAGAAATTCAGGACTTTTATACGACCATGTCCAGGACATGGCCGGTTCAAGCCTTTGTGGTTTTTTAATTTCTTGTATGTTTGGCAGAACGGCAAACCAATCACCGCCCAATTTGAACGCCAGGTGGTAAAAGCACATTGCAGTACACCCGTGTTCCAAATTGCTGTAAAATTTGGGTTTTGGGCACCATAAATAATGTTTTATTATTATATAATACTGGCGGTTCATTAAAACAATTTTTTTTTTTTTGTGAAATTTCTACGTTGAATTTTTTACATTTTAACAAGTAGATAATTTCACTGATTTTTATTGCGGTAAACCCTGGTCCGCCGCCCATTAAATATGCAAATTCTGAAAGACTAGAAGATGCTAATGTGAGTCGTTGCTCAAGTAATTTTCTGTCTAGCTCACATTCAATATCAAGTTAAGGGTTAAGTAGTATATCGTTATACAACGATGTAAAAGTTGATTTGAAGAAATTTTCGACATAAACAAATTTTGTGTTTATGTAAGCTAATAAATCAGTATTTTGAGCAGTTATGGTTTTTCGTGTGAAATAATTAAAAAATGTAGGTTCTGTTAAAATTAATAACTGCATATGTTCAGTCTGAAAAACTGGGATTCCTGTGCAAGCAAACGTTTTTTTGACTTTTTTTAAAGCAAAGACTATTTTGTCAGTCTCCACAATATAAGTATATGTATTTGAACTTTCATCAATAGTATTTGACGTAATTAAAGACGCTGGTCCATCATATAGGACACTGAAATCGTGTTCTTCACAGTTTATGTTATTGTTTGACCAGATAGTTTCACCTTTAAAAGCATCAATGCCGTAATTGTCTGATAACTTAAGTTTTGTTCCTGTTGGAAGCATAAGAACGTTATTTTTGGTATTCGCTGTAGCCACACCTTCCGATAGCAATATTTTAAATTTAGCTTGGACAACGACGTTTTCCCAATCTCCTTTATTTGATTTAAAAGATGAGCCTTTGCAATTGCCATACTTATCTAATGACCCTAACATTGTATTTGAAACATGTATTGTTTCGTTAATTTTTAAGTCTGTTACTACACCTCCTAGTGGGAAATTATAGGATTGTTTCTGATGAACCTCTGAACATCGAGCACTTCCTAGTTCGATAATGTCAGAAAAGTAACCGCCATCCACTACTTGCGCGTCTTCAAATGTCGAGCATCTCGTTATTAAATAATCCACAGATATTAAACACGATTTAAAAACAACTGGATATGTTTCAACTTTTTGTAATAATTGTATTCGTTGTATCTGTTCCGTTTGTGTTGGTATTGGAATATCACATTTTTCTACTTCCAGGCTGTCAAATGAAGTGATATTTAGATTCGACCCTCCACAATCGTACGCAATAAATCCAAGAGTGAAATTTATAATGTTTGCAATAACTACAAATAGTACTTGGTTAAAATACATATTGACTGATTACCTATAATAACAACAGAATATGAATATTACATACGATTTTAAGTAATAAATATTTAAAGTATAAAATAAAAATTGAATTAATAATGTTATTATTATTAATAATTATTAATGTGAATTTATTGTATTGAAAAACATTAAAAATTAATTTCTAATTTCATAAAATTCAGCCTGAGCTTCACGAGCGTCTGAAGTTTAAATTTTGACAAAATAGAATCATGAATGAGTTACTATACAAATAAAAATAATTTAAAAAACGGGCAAGTGGGTACCGCTCTGCTGTACATTAAATAAGGAGTGGGGTGAACCTCGGACTAGGGTAGGTTAAATTTAAATGCAATGATAGGTATCATTGTATACGAAAAACGATTCTGAACGGAGATGATTTGTCAGTCTAGGATATATTATATTTAAATATTGTTGAAACAAATATTTTATTTTTCAATTAGAACGCATTTACAAAAGTCATGGTTAATCAATTAATTATTAATTTTTATGAATTATACCTACAAAATAGTTTTCAAATATTCATGGTTTTGACGAATTTTTGTCAATATTTGAACTTCAAATGCTAATAAAAAAAAATTGGGCCTATGTATTCTTAAATTTTTTTGATCACTATAAGAATAACTTATGAGGAACTTTTTATTAAATGTTCAAGTATTTTGATTGAGCCAAAAAAATTTTATCGACACTTCAAAAAAGAAATTTTCAGAAAAATTAAAAATTTCAGTTGTCTATAAATAGCTCAAAAAAGTCAAAATATTTAGAAAATTAAATCATGTAAAGAAAATGCCAATCTAAATAACTGGTAAAATTTTCAAGTATCTACGACCAGAGTTGGGCAAAATTTTATTTAGATAACTATTCGAATAAATATGTATTCGAATGGTTTTTTCACAATTATTCGGATAATTTCAAACTGTTATTATTCGAATAAAAATTATACTAGGTAGTACAAAATATTTATCATATAATGGTAATAAGATTATAATTTATAAGTCTTCTAGTTAATAATAGCATTAATTATACTGTGATATATTAAACTAAATTAATTTTTTTAATAATTTATTAAAAATTTAATAATAATTTTATTTATTGAAATTTAAAATTTGCTATATTTATTTATTTTCATTTTTGCCAAAATTATTTATTTACATTTTTGTTATTACTATTTACTACTATTTATAATTGTTGTAATTATTACGAAATAATATTCATATTTTAATTTTTTTTTTTTTTTTTTTTTTTTATTGCTTTACGCGCCATTTAGGCGCTTCGCAGCTTCTACCAAAGTTCTCCAAAGTTCTCGATCTTCTGCATCCGCAATACTTGCTCCATTGCTTAATCTCTTCAGGTCGACTTTTACTCGGTCCAACCACCGTTGTCTTGGCCTTCCTACCGGTCGTTTTTTATTTGGTTTGTTGATGAGTACCTGTTTTATCAATTTACCCTCTGCACGCCAAACATGGCCAGCCCATTCTAACCTTTTCGACCTTAGAAAATCTTTTAAATTGGCTGTATTGAACAGACTGTTTAAGTCAGCGTTTTTTCTTCGCTCGTATACACCGGTATTGGGGTTTAATATAGGCCCATATATTTTCCTAAGTATTTTCCTTTCGAAAGTCAACAGTTTATTCTCGTCACCCTGCGTCGTGGACCATGTCTCACATCCATACATGACAATGGGGCGCAAGTAGGCAATGTATAGTTTTTTCTTTGTGTCTCTAGATAGCAGTTTCGATGTGAACATTTTTCTCATTGCATGGTATCCACGGTTTGCTGCACTTATCCTGGACTTAATCTCGTTATGCATATTATTTTTATGATTTATATTAGCGCCTAAGTACTTAAAATTTTCGACTTGCTCAAAAGAGAAATTATCAATGCTCACATTTTGTAACGGAGTAGGTCGTCTACTCATTAACATATACTTAGTTTTATTTTCATTTATTTTAAGGCCCATCTTTTTACTTGACAGTATGAGCTTTTGTACTGTCCCTTTTAATTCCGTTTTTGATTCTCCAAATAACACAATGTCATCCGCATATGCTAAGATAGATGAGCGCCCCAGTACTTCCATTTCTCGGTCTCCCTGCATATCTCTTACGACTTTTTCAAGTGCTAGATTAAAGAGAGCTGGAGATAGCGCGTCCCCTTGTTTCAATCCACACCTGACCTCAAACTCCTTTGATGTTTCTCCAAGAAAGCGCACTTTGCAAAGCGTGTCAGAATTACAGCACTTTATTAATTTAACCAACTTCCTTGGTATTCCGAAAAATATAAGTGCTCACCATAGCCGGTCTCTAATAATGCTATCATAAGCTTGCTGGAAATCGATGAAAATCATGTGCAAATCTTTGTCATATTCATAATATTTTTCCATAACCTGTCTAAGGGTGAATATATGGTCAGTAGTGGACTTTCCTTTCATGAAACCACACTGGTATTCGCCGATTATTTCTGTTGAAAATTTTTCAAGTCTATGTAAAACGGCTATTGACAAGACCTTGTAAGAAGTGTCCAAAAGGGATATGCCACGGTAATTTTCCACTTTCTTGGGGTCTCCTTTTTTGTAAATCGGGCAAATAATAGCGGTGTTCCAACCCTTTTCTAGTTTTTCTTGCTCCCATATAGTTGAGATGGTTTTGTATAGGTTTTCCAGGAGGTCTCGGCCAGCAAGTTTGAGTAACTCCGGATTTATGTTGTCCTCTCCTGGAGCTTTGTTGTTCTTCAGTGATTCCACTATTGATTTAATCTCCTCCAAACTAGGTTCCGGCACTTCTGGTTCCACTGTAACATATATTTGATCCTCAGCCGGTTTTCCAGATCCATCTGTATTGTTTGTTTCATCGTCTGGTTTATTATTTAATAGATTCTCAAAATATGTTTGAAACTTGTCTATGATCATTTTAGGGTCTGATATGAGGTTGCCATCGTCATTAGTCATAAGATAGGTACGAGATTTAAAGCCTTCTTTTATTGATTTACATTTTTCAAAGAACATTTTCGGGTCCTTTTTATATGACTCAATGTCATTTAGGGCATTTTTTTCTGATGCTCTTTTCTTTTGCCTAATTATTCTATTTGACCTTGCGTGAAACTCTGCATATTCCTGTAAATTTTAAGTCGAAGGATTTTGTATCATTTTAACTCTTGCTGCTTTTCGATTTTTTATCGCGTCTCGACACGCATTATCAAACCAGTGATTCTTACTTTTTCCCTTGGTATCTCGGAGAGTTTCTGCTGCTTTAATTAGTGATTCCTTTATTTGGGTCCACTCTATGATATTACTCAAATCTCCTTGTCTTATGTTAAGGCTGTTCAATCCTTCTTTTATTTTGTTTTGGTATTTCATGATTTCCTTTTGATCTCTTAATTTACTTCTATCTAGTTTATGTGCTGTATTAGGTTGTTGCTTTTTTCTCCAGATCGTTGACAGTTTTAACGATAGACTTGCTATCACTAAGAAGTGGTCTGTGTCCCCATCCGCACCCCTATAGCTTCTGACGTTTTTTATGCTTGTTCGGTGTCGCTTGTCAATAATTATATGGTCGATTTGACTTTTCGTCTTACCGTCTGGGGCAGTCCACGTATGCATATTTTAATATTACTAAATTATTATTAAAAAAAATATATCAAATTCTTTACTTTCTTCTATTGATTTATATCTGTTTTATATATACTATTTTATAATATTTTCATCATTATGTAATTTAAAATACATACAATGCCAACTATTTGCCTGTTTTTAATTACCAACCCTATGGTTACCCAAACAAAATTAACGAAAATTACTTGAATAATAACATTTGAAAATTATTTGAATACATTTTTATTCGAATAATCGTGAAAAAATCATTCCAATAATAATTTATTTGAATAAAATATCATCTAAATAATCATTTAAATAAAATTTAATTCGAATAACGCCCTACTCTGTCTACGACTTATACTTTTTGAATATTAACAAATATTTAAAATCGTTATCGTTACGCTATTTCGTAAAAATTTAAAATTCAAACGCACTTAAAATTTTTCCTATAATGATGCTTCGGGTATTTACTATAGCTACTTGAGGGAAAACTTAGGAAAAACGTTGTGTAGAGTTTTTAATCCTTAGTTATAAACACAAACAATTTTATGATTTTTCAACTTCAAAATTACTTACAAATTTTCGCGTTTTCGATAGATTTCGTAAATATTTGAACTATTAACGTTTATAAAAAAAAATTGTGACTAACGATTTTTAATTTTTTTTAGCTACAATGAGAAAAACTTATAAGGAACATTGTATTAAATTTTCAAAATTTTTTGGTCATCCAAACATTTTTTTATCGACACTTCAAAAAAAAATTCTCATAAAAATCGATAATTTCAGTGGTCTATAAATTAAACTGTACATAGATAACACTAACATAAACATTTTGTGAAAATTTCAAGTATTTACAGTGATTAGTTTTTGAATTACAACCATATAAAAAAATCGATTTGGTCAAAAGCTGGTTTTGCGTAAAAATTCCCGTTTTTTCGTCATTTATTTTTTGTTTTTCTCGATTTCTTTGAAAACTGTTAGAAAATGTTTACTTTTTACCTCTATAATGCACCAAAGATATTCACTTTGCCATCGGAAACCACCCACGAAATTTAAAATTGAAGCATTATTTCGACTACTTATGCGGTACACAGACACAAAAAAAAACACACACATCATTGTAAAATCAATACATTCATCACTCCGTTCAGAATCTAAAATATGTAATATTTTTATTAAAATATTAGTATAAAAATATATCGTACCTGATTTTTAATGTTTCCATTTGTTTTTATTAATTACGACGTGATATATTCAACTTGGTTTGAGCTCGAACTGTGAAAGAACACTAACGACACTATGAACTGCTACACTAATATTTATATCATGTATAATTTTTTTTTTTTTATTTTTTTAATTATTTAAAATACATCTACAATCTATACAGTTATTTGTACAATAATTAGATTTGATAAGGGAAAGAATATAAAATTAACGGCGAATAATAGGATTGGGAAGTTATCCATTGATAACACCCAGCACGTGCGTTAGTTGTTGACTAATGATTAGTAATTATTAATATAAGAGATCCCTGCACTATTTTCTTTTTAGTCTACGTCAAGGGTTGTCGGGTAGAGTTTTAGATGATAATTTTTTGATTAGTGGATTAGTGTGTGATTGGAGTTTATTATGAAATCTAATGTAGTATGTTTTAGAGATTTGATTTAGGGTTTGTATTTTTAAGTCTTTGTGGAGGTTGGAGTTTGTTATGTACCAAGGAGCAGAGGAAACTAGACGGAGACAGATGGACTGAAAGGCTTGTATTGATCTGGTGTTGGAGGGTTTTGCGGCTCCCCATAATTGAATGCCGTATGTCCATAGCGGCCTGAGTAGGGACTTGTAAATTAGTAATTTGGAGTCAATGTTCATTTTAGATCTTAATAATGGTCTTAGGAGGTGTAGACGGGAATTAAGGGCTTTTCGTTTATCAACTATGTGAGGATTCCAGGTTAGTTTATTGTCAAGGGTAAGACCGAGGTATTTTACTTGTGTGTAAATAGGGATTGGAATGTTGTTCATTGTAATTTGAGGACAAGTTTTTTTATTTAAGGTAAATGTTATGAAGGAGGACTTGTTTTCGTTGATTTTCATTTTCCATCTCTTTGTCCAGAGGTGTATGATATTGAGGTGTCTTTGTATCATATTTGAGGTTATAATGGGATTTTCATTGGTTGCTAAAATTGCCGTGTTGTCGTCGTAGGAACCGAGTTCGGTGTAGGAGGTTTTGGGAATGTCATGAGTGAATATATTATATAAAAAAGGGGCAATATCGCTACCTTGGGGAACTCCGGCGAGAATGTCGAAGTAGTTTGAGTAACATGAATTCTGTCGTACGATGAAAGTACGGTCACTAAGGTACGATTTTATAAGTAAGTAATAAGGCGCAGGCAGAAATTTTTTTAGTTTGAAGAGTAGGCCTTCGAACCAGACTCTATCGAACGCTTGCGCTACGTCCAGGAAGACGGCAGCACAGTAATGTTTTTTTTCTAGTAACGAAGATATAGTGTCGAATACTCTGTGAAGTTGATGGATCGTTGAGTGATTTGGTCTGAAACCGTATTGTGTATCTGGGATAATGTTAGCTGAGATAGCGAGAGGAATGAGTCTTTTTAGTAAGATCTTTTCGAATACTTTTGATAGAGTTGGTAATAGGCTTATGGGTCGATATGATGTAACTTTATCTGGAGGCTTGTTGGGTTTTGGAATTAGTATAATTTCAGAAAATTTCCAGGTTAGGGGGAAATAAGATAAACGCAACATTGCGTTGTAGATATACGAAAGTAGTATAGGGGTTTTTTTTGGCAGGTTTTTAGCTGTGAGATTTGTGATCCGGTCGTACCCGGGAGCTTTTTTGTTGTGAAGTTTTTTGATTATAAACTCGATTTCACCGGGACTAGTGGGTTTAGCTGGGAGTGACATTGGTAATGCAGAGTTCAATGATTGTGTGACTATTTGGTTTTGGGTGTGATTTAGATTTATATTGTGTGGTGTGAAGGTTTTGGATAGATGATGGCCGAATAGATTTGCTTTATCGGTATCGGAAACAACCCATGTGTTATCTTCTTTCCGAAGGGGAGAGGGAGTTGAAACGGTTTTAAGAATTTTTTTTGTCGCTTTCCAGAGGGAAGAGTGTTGAGTTGTTAAGTTTTGTATGTATTTTTGATAAGTGCTAGAGCTGTGTTGTGAGAGTGCTTTTCTTAGTTTGTTGTTTAATTGGTTGAAGGTTTGTTTATCGATGGGGTATTTGTGTCTTAGCCACCGGGACCTAGCTTTTCGCTTTTCTTGGAGAAGAAATTTTATGTGATTCGGTAGTGGGTATTTTTTGGGGTGGATTGGACTATGAAATTTAGCCAAGTGTGTGCATTCTTGAATATCTATTGTGAGTTTTTGAATTGTTTCATCAATATCATCGCTTGACTTTAAGGATGGGTTGAGTTGAGTGCGAATTTCAACGAGTTTTTTAAAAGTAGGCCAGTGTATTTTTTTGGGAGTTTGGAGATTTGTGGTAGGATTCGCAGAGGGTATTTCAAACTCTAGAATAACAGGTGAGTGGTCGGATGAAAGGTCATTAGTGTTAGTGACCGTGGTAAGGTTTGGTATTTTTGTGATATAGATATCAAGAATATCTGGACGTCTGTTCCGATGAAAAGGCCATTAGGTGGGGTGAGGTGGGGGTAGAATTTTTATATTGGAGTTAGCTATAGAGTTGAGCAGGGTTCTGCCTCTTGTATTAGTTGAAAAACAACCCCAAGAGGAATGTTTGGCGTTTAGGTCACCGGCGATGATAAAATGTTTACCTAGGGATTCGAAGAAATTTATAAAGTTAAGTGAGCTAATTTTAGGTCCTGGTGGGCAGTAGGTGGAAGAGAGTGTCAGATTTATATGTTTATTTACGGGAACAAGAATGCTTGTTGCTTGGATGTAAGTTTCACTGATTATAGGAAGAGAGGAATGGGGCAAATTATTCTTAACAAGTATCAAGGAGCCAGCGTGAGCCGTGTTGTCGGGGTGATTGCTTTGATAAACTTTATAACCGAGTATTTTGATAGATTTTGACGGGGTAAGATGAGACTCGGATATCATGGCTATGTCTATATTAAGATCACTGAGGATTGTCTGGAGTTCTAGCTTGTGAAGTGTAATACCGTTTGCGTTCCATGTGAGTAATTTGAGTTTAAAGTTAGTTTCCATTGTTGGAGCTTAATTTGTTTATTAATGAGATAAGAAGGGTTATTAGAGGATTGAGAAGTGTTATGAGGGGAGAAATTAGTGTTTTAAATTCGGAAATGAACGTAGTTAGTTGGTTTGTTAATTTTTGATTGGAAATATGGTCGTTGGTATTATCTGATTTATTTGATTTGTTACCTATTACTGCTTGTGAGTATGATGTGTGCTGGGTGTTAATGTGCTAGTTATGAGTAGTTGTGGGTACGTTGTTGTGATGTTGACTTGCTTCTTGATGAGGATGACTGTTGTGTTGGATTTGATATGAATCTGAGTTTTGGGCCATTTCTCTTGAGATGGCGTTTGGTTGATGTTTTTTTCGGAGACGTTGGAGATCCTTGTGTACCGTGCAGCCTCTGTAGTTTGCCGGGTGAGCATTACTGCATAGTGCACATTTAGCAGGGAGGTCCTTGAATTTGGAGCATTGGTCTGAGGTGTGGTTATCGCCACATCGGACGCATTTAGGCAGTCGATTGCAGTATGATTTAGTGTGGCCGTACTGTTGACAGCGATGGCATTGGACTAGATCCTGTCTGATGTGAGGGGCTTCGAATTTGACTTTAGAGAAACATAGGTTGTTTATCTTGAAGATGTCTTGGTTGTTTGGAGATGGGTTAAGGTCTACAAAGAATAGTGGGAGGGGTTCTTTTGATTGGGATTTTAGGATGTTAGTGATATTTTTTACCATAAATCCATGTTTTTCAATTTCATCTTTAATGTAATCAGTAGGAATTGTATGGTGCAGATTCCTAATAACAACTCTGTAGGACTTTTCTTCGTGTAGCTGGTACGTGTGGTATTCAAGTTTGTTCTCGTTGAACAATGATATAACGGCACGGTAAGAACTGGCGAGTGAAGGTTTATTTTTATGCTTTTTGAGTTGGACTTGCAAAGGAAGCCCTCGGTTTTCGTTATTTGTTCTAAGTTTTTACACAGAGTGACGAAATTAATCGGAGATGTTAAGAAAATTGGTGGTGGAGGAGGTGGTGGAGGAGGTGACTCGTTGATTTCTGTGACTTCAAGATCCATATTATCTGCGTTGGTGTCGAGTGGAGAATAGCGGTTTGGTGAGGAGAAATTTGACGGCTCATTTAGTTTTTTTGTATGAGGCGAGGTAATATTATTAGGTGACCTAATACGTTTGTTATTATCAACAATATTCCATTCTTGGTCGTTATCTGAGGTGACTGGCGGAGAAGTTACGCCCTGCGCTTTGTGAGAGATACCTTTTGTGATAGTTAACGGAGATAGTTTCGGTTTGCTTTTAAGTTTATTTGTGTCTGAGTTATTCCGATGCATGGTGCAGTGGGAGATTGCAGGTCACGGCCTACAGCCGGTTCTGCGATAGTGGTGACGGGTTGGATTTTGTTTTATTTAGCGCGTATGAAAGATAAACGATAAACGGTAATAATTAAACTGAATAATACGGTTCGACTTAGTACTCATTAATTTAATGACGCGATAAGCGATAACAATAGTATGCGAAATCGACGGTCGTCGGACGTGTGCAACGTACGACAGTCGCGGCGATACTGATGTATAATTAAATAATAAATTATTGAGATGATGATTAACAGAATCA